GCTAAGAGACAGCACAGTCAGCAAGGGTTAGCGTTGTGCTCCATGATCACTGAGTTTCTAGTTTGGAGTTACTTGTTTCAGGGTGGCCTAAAGTGCGGGTGGGGCAATTGCATATCCGTCAGCAAAATACTATGCAGGCTTGTTTTGGGTGAGTTAAAAACAGGTTTGGGGGACGCTATCTGGGAGAGTTGCTTGGTTAATGCCAATTGATTTTATTGTGTCTTGGCCTCTTCTATAAATTTGTTAGCACTGTACAGTATACATTTTATTCTCAATCAAGCTTGCATCTCATATATTGTTTGAGAGTTCACTTATAATCTGAAACAGTAGCATAAAATTAGACACACAATTGCTGATGTGTATGTTGATATTTTTCCACTCTCAATGGTCCTGAAAACTCTTAATTGCTCCTTAAGGTCGTTGTTTAATTTGGCGGAACAATGGAGCATTCAGCCAATGAACTAGCAAATCCTACAATATTTTTATAGATATATTTTGACTATAAAAATACAACAACACAACAACAAGACCCCACTACATTTATCTGGAAGCTTAAGTGCTTGAGGCAAGGTCGCCTTGTAACAACTGCTTTCCCTGTAAACACTACTTAGGGCACTTTACTTGAAAACAGAAGAAAAAACATACATGCGTGTTCTTTCCTGTTCCTCTCTCAAAACCTAGTCTTCCTATCTGTAGTTATTATGCAACATCTGTTCTTGAATAAGTAAAATATTAGCGTTTATCTCTAAGGGTAGCTGGTAAAATACAGAGTTTTCCTTTTGTATTTTTTATAGTCTTTAGGGTCTTTCTGGCTAGGAAATTGTGATTGCACCTTCTCTTAGAAGTTTAAAAAAGATTAACAAAACCAGCTTCTGCTTGCCCCTAATATCTCCCAGCCCTATCCAGTTTATTTCTTTGTTCTTATTAATTTAGTAAGTAACTACATATTTATGGCAGATCAGCATGGGACTTCTAATTAGAAGTGAATTTGTTCTATATCTGACAGTGAACTAGTTTAGCCTTGCCAAACTTGTAGAAATGTTTTTTGAGTAAGAGCTATTTTAGCAGAAGACAAGGGATTGCAGCCTCTCTTCTATTTTTGTCATGATTCTAATATAGGAAACAACTTTCAAAGCCCCTGCCAGTTGCCCTGAATGTCTGTCTGAAAGTGCTAAACAACAGTCAATCCCAACTGTTCCAGATTTATTTATAACTGACTTCTTGGTTATCAATCAGGGCTTCAGCATCATACGTCCTGCATTCCTGTCTTTGAGATTCACTTACAGTCATGTTCAGCTTGGTAGGTCAAATACACTTGACTGAGATTCCATATAGATAATATTTGCATAGAAGATAGAAATTTTATTACTTGTGGTCAATAGGTGAAGTCTGAGCATATATTATGAATATTTTCCTCTTTTTGATCTGTTATATATAAAGAATACTTTTTTCTAAAGTTGTTATGGGAATTACTGACAGAAGTACTACAATAAAATGTCTCTATTTCTGTTTTTGATTAGAAACTCCTTTAGAAATAAAATATACTTTTTTTAAAACCTTTTTTTTTATTATTTTAAGCTGCTCTGATTTATTATCAGGCATTTCTCTAAAATAGAGTAAAATGAAAGGGATGTCTGAAATTTTTCTTGGGTACAAAATTCAATGAGACAATTTATTTGGAAGGTAAAGACTGCCCAATTAAAATGTTCTCTCCCTTCTTTTTCTCTAGTATCTTCCAAGTCACATTGCTAATGTGTCAATTTTCTGATATTTTGGATATGCTTCTTTCAAATGGAAAATCTGAAAATCAGTCCAGAGAAAGAGACACACAAGGATTAAATTATATAGGAGAGAGAGAGTTATCTTTTGTGCTCTAGCAATCCCAAAGAAAAAAAACTGGACTGTGGGAATGCAGTGGGAGGATGTGGAGGCTAATCTCTGTTTACCCATTAATAAAGTCTGATCTCTGAAGTTTCTCCCACTTATTTGAGTCTGCCCTACTGGCAGTAAATTTGAACCCTGCTCTTTTCTGAAAATTTGTTCTCACCTCCAGCTAGACTTTAGTGCCCATTTGATGGTTAGCCTTTTTCATTATTCTTTTATTTCTGTGGGGTCAGGCCAATGGGCTCTTACAATAACGTCTGACTTCTGTTTGCTTTGGTAAGCATTCAGCTCCAGGTTTGAAGCAGGTAGAATCAGTAGGTTATGCCACAGGTCAGCCTAGTCAGTTGAGATGTACGCTGGGTTTCTGTCTTCATACTTACATCCAGGTGAGGTCATCCTTTACAGGCCATAGAGACCTGTAAAGGATAGAGACTCATAGTATCTAGATAGGTTTTTCAAGAAAAATGCTGTGCCTTATTGGCATAATTTATTGAATTTGTGAAGTGTTTGCCATGTTGGTGCAGTATATGAATTCCCTGTAGTTGCACTGTGTTAGGAACACTTGGTTGGTATTCTGCACTTGTTAATTACTCCCAGTGCACACGTGGAGCTCTCCTAGTGCCAGGAACAGAAAGCTGCAGGAACTTTTAGTTGTGGCTAATCCGATCAAGTATGAAATCTGAGAGATTAAAGGTCCAGTGATCTTTCCTTCCTGTGAGTGGTTTATCTGGTTAGTTTAGTGGCGAGTCAGGCCATAGATATGTAGTCAGTCTGGATCCAGCAAGCCTTATTTATTAGCTGGTACGCTTGATTAACTTGACAGTGTCATACAAGCTACTTTCAGGACTAGCTGGGGTCCAGAAACATTTCTATGCTGTTAAGCTTGAACAAAGAAGGTTCCTGAATTCGGTGTCCTGAGCCGGATGGCGTCACTGGCCCTGTGTAGTCGCCACAGCCCTGCTTAGGCACGTTATCTCAAGTTCACTGCTGGACCTGATGGACATAACCTGGTTCTGTGTAAAATATGAAATATGCTGGACTGCATTCTCCAGCAAGCTGAGTTACACAAAGGCTTATTTCAGTACAGCACCAAAGCTCTAATTTTTTTTTTCTTTGTGCAGTCGTCCAGTCCTCTTTCACTGGACCTTGGTGGACTGCAGATCAGCGTGCGTGCCTCTGCACCACGTTCCCCAAGCACATTGTGTACTATCTTATTATCCAGATTTTCCTAGCACTTCGTTACCCTGACTGCATCTTGCCTGATAGGACAAAATACGCTTTGTGTATGCATGTGTGTGTTTGAGAGACAGAGATCTGGCTTGGTTAAGATTTTGGGGTATTATAATGCACACCCAAAATCATCTGATAACTCAAACAGCCCTTTTGGGATGCAGCTGATTACCAGTGAGTTCAATATTTGTATTGTTGAGAGAAGGTGGTACTGGTGACCCTCAGCTGTTTTGTCACTAAAAGTGCAGATTATGCACTGGGCAAGAGAAGTTGTTAACAGCTGACAATGTGTATGAGAGGTTGCTATTTCTAGTTCTGAGCATCTGTATTATTGCCTTAACATTTCATTTTACCCCTCCTTATGCACTGAAAAGCTTAGCACCATGTTTTTATATTGGTGTCATCCGTGAAGTGATTTTAATGCTTGCTTCTGAAAAAGGCCAATTTATTACGGTTGCCTTGAAGAGTCTTCAGATGACTTACTTTGGCATCTGTTTGGATATGTTAGTAACGGAACAGGCAAAATTATAAATGTCATGGGCTGGTCTTGGGTTAGCAGATGCCCAGTTTATAATGTGTTTACCTCGCTTTCACCACAGAATTTTGGGAATTAAATGTGGTTTATGGTTAAGTATTTTTTTCTGAGTGCCTATGTAATGTCAGGAAATAATGAAATAAGCTCTAACGAGTGCAGTTACACATTACCATGGTACAGTCGTCTTAGTTTAGGCATCTAATTTCACTCTGGCAAAATCCAGATAATTCATATTTAATTAAAATATATATTGATGTTTTTGACCAGTTACTGGTCTACTGAGCTGAGCAATGTTTATGCTAACTACAGTTAATTTTTTATCTTTTTTTGTTTAAAAGATGGTGCCAACTGTTTCAAAAACATTCTCCTTTTAGTTTTTTTAACAGATTACAAGCTTTAAAACAACTCTTTTTTATCTTTATTGTTTCTTTTGCCTTGCAATAACTATTTTCCCAGAAGTTATTAAGAACTGCACGACGCATTTTAAAACAACAAAAACTACGCAAGAGTCTTCCTCTGTTCCTTTCCATTTAAGAGGACTGATGTTTGGATAAAAATGAGATACAGAGCAAGAAAATTAGCACAGCAGAGCTTAGAGATAGGGTGGGTTTGGAAACGGAGGAGCAATTTGATATCACAGCTGATTTAGATGTGAGGTGCAACAGATGGTCTGGCCCTCTCATATTTACCCTGTTCTTCTGTCAGTTACTCTGTTGTTTGACAAAAATAAACATATTCATCCATACGGCTCCCAAGAGGACGCTAAACATGAACATCAATAACAAAATCTCATGAAGAAGAAAAATATTGTATGTAAAATTGCCCAGAATAACATTGTGAAGTTATTGACGTGCTTTAATTTAGAACAACTGGTGGGACAGACTGTATAAGCGTTCCCTGACGTT